TGGGCATAAAGAATCTAATACAGATATGCTACAAGGATTAGTTTGCCTTGGGGTCTGACATATTCCCTTGATCTCATTCGGAGAATATTTTGCCATGATTGCTTTGGTATCCAGGTGAGCGATACAGGCCCTCTGGGCCTCTTGTTTACATCTTGGTAGCATGTAGCTCTCTATATTTAAATGAGTACACATATTTCTGATGAGTAAAAAACATAATAAATACGTGTATTTTAGACCTTTATTGCGTAAGAAAAGTATAATTTAAAAAAATCGAAATAAACACGTTTTTCTTACTTTTTTCCAAAATTAAAATCAGAGACAAAATTTTCAGCTGCTTAAATCTAATCGCCAAATTGCCACAAAACACAGGAATTTGCTCCAGAGACCTTCTTGTAGTCAAAAAATTATTTTGGGGTTGTCAACCATCAATGTTCAATGTTCATTTTATTTCCAAAAGTTTAAAGCTTATAGGTACAGGCTATTAAAACAATCCATACATATACAATCCATACTTTCCAGGGCGGCAGTTTGCATGTGTAAACAAATAAGTGACATGTATTTTGAATGAATGATATACTAGTTATAAAATAAGTGACATGTATTTGAATGTTTGTTCATCATGGGTTAAACTATGATATATTAGTTAAAGAAAATTTAATAAAAATAATATTATATTCTGTTTACTGATGAACATTTTGTTATGACATGATGAAGCAAAGTTGATCAGAATAAAACAAGGAGTCAACCTGACTAAATGTCAAGGTCATTGGGTCAAAGGTCGAGGTTTACATTTGTATCTTTTCACTGGTGAACATTTTGGTATGACACTTTGAAGCAATATTGGTCAGAATTAAACAAGGAGTCAATTGACCAAATGTCAAGGTCACTGCGTCAAAGGTCACGGTCATATTCTGTATCTTTTCCCTGATGAACATTTTGTTATGACTTTATGAAGCAAAGTTGGTTGGAATTAAACAAAAAGTCAACTGACTTGTGGTCAAGGTAACTCGGTCAAAGGTCAAGGTAAAATTTAGTATTTTATTGCTGGTGAACATTCATCATGACACTTTGAAGCAATGTATGTGGGAATTAAACACAGAGTCATTTGACCAAAGGGCAAGGTCACTGGGTCAAAAGTCACGGTCAAATTTTGTATCTTTTCACTGAAGAACATTTTGTTATGACATTATGAAGCAAAGTTGGTCCAAATTTAAATAGGAGTCAACTGTCTTAAGGTCAAGGTCAAGTGGTCAATGTTATTATGTAGCAAACTTGTTCAGAACTTCACACAGAGTAAACTGACCTTAGGTCCAGTTTATGGGGTCCAAGTTTTCTATTTTTCACTGGTGAATATTTGGTTATGATATTATGAAGCAAAGTTGGTCGGAATTAAAGAATAAGTCAACTGACAAAAGATCAGGGTCACTGGGTTAATGATCAAGGTCATTTTGGTCCAAAGATCAAAGACAAAGTGGATCTCTGACTTTGACCCTGGCTCTTGATGGAGGAGGTATATAAGGTGAAATAAAACAAATCAAAGCTAACAAATGGGTATTGCACCAGTAATTACATTTCTGTTAGCCCAGCAAATATGGAGGTGGAAGGAAACAAGACTCGCATCGTAGTATATGTAAAATGTATGTTTTGCTTCCTTGCGATTCTTTTTGAAGTCCAAATATCAAAGGTCAAGCTTAGCTATATGGGCAGATTGCTTCTTGATGATTATGGGTGATATATTGCCACAAGACGGGGCCCTAATGACCTGTCGGTGTTCTAGTTTATATAACCAAACTTCTTTTTTATTCAAGAAGGCATTCTTTCTTTCATATGAGTGATCGAGGAAAATTAACAGAACACCTTCTGGTTAGAATTGCAACGATATTCCAAATGGGCTTATGATACCATGTAAGGCCGGCGCATCTACCTTGATCCGATCTGCAGTAGGCGCTTTCTCGTCGAGCGGCGATCCAGAGCATGAGAACATAAAACGGTTCACAGAACCAATTTACAGCCCTTTTAGGGCTACCCAATTAACGCAAAAAAACAAAAGTATCGCTCAAAATAAACGCATACAAACAAAGCAGAAGACTTTGTTATTATTTTTTTTATTTTTTCAAACATGCCCATGTAAATACCATTTACTTTTAAATTATGTTGAATGAAAGAAATATCTACTATGTTATTATTATTTTTTTTTTTTTCAAACATGCCCATGTAAATACCAATTACTTTTAAATTATGTTGAATGAAAGAAATATCTACTATGTTATTATTATTAATTTTTTTTCAAACATGCCCATGTAAATACCATTTACTTTTAAACTATGTTGAATGAAAGAAATATATCAACTGGGTGATAATCATTCAACAGAATGTTAGTTGATAAAAATATAAAAAGGGCAATTATGATTCTAATAGTAATCAATTACGGTCGATGATCATTTCAATACAGTAGCCACACAACATTATATAATAATCAGTTATTTATTACAAATCAAACTTGTGTCGATGAAGAATGACTATAACAATGATTGTTTCATTTCAAAACAAGTACAACCAATGAAAACATACACAGGCGATTTATATTTCAAGTAAAAAAACAATCGATTTTAAACAATTTAACGGGTGTAACTTTTTCGGAAACAACATATTTACATTCGATAACAGTATGAAGAGAACATCGTGTAAATGAGTCAATTATAGTTTTTAAAACGCTATATAAACACACTATTAACTAGGCAATTACTTTATAGAAAAACAACATAGTTACGTTCAAAGAAAGTATGTATTCCAGAAAAAATACATGGTTGTTGGCAATAAAGATAAGAACACAACATAATCAATTATTCATTACTAATAAATTTATTAGAATTCTGTCGATTAAGTATGACCAGAATATTCAGGGCTAGCTCTGGGTCTTGATTCAGTTTCGCCAAAAATTTAATATGTCCCCTACAAGTGCGTGTGATGGCCCGCAATCATGGACCAGACCCCCCCCCTCCCCCCAAAAAAAGAAGACCCCTTTTAATTTTCGTTTATATATCCCATTATATATATACATTCTAATGTATCCAATGTATCTTAGACAGGAAGTGAACTATTGAAATGAAGAAAATGTTCATGTTTTATGACTATCAAACACTAACACTGCAAATAATTTCATTTTTTTCCTTTCTGTGACATTCTCTGGCCTTCTGCATCCCAATTCCAAGGCCTTTTACATTCAAACAGGCTGCTCCTTGTTGACAAAGTGCCAGGATGAGATATTTCATCTTTCAATATGAAGAAAAATATTTATAGGGGGACTAAACATGCATATTGGAGCAAATTATTTTCACCAAAACCAAAGGCTGATACTTAAGGGATTTACCAACTCTATTAATATTTATATTATCTTCATTCTTTCACTTGATAATTCTTAGTCAAAAAACATTTATTGGCAAAAATGTCTAAAAAAAATAAAAATTTGATCGTCAACTTAAATATAATTTTTTGGCAAATTGTCATCTCGATCAGATTGCAAAAATCGCATAATTCAAGTTGTATGTCATTTTATGTGCCCTGGCAATTGCATATCTGTTACTGCTTAACAAAATTTAAAAGAAAGTCATTAAAAGTATCCCGCTTGCGTCCCAATGTAAGCACACAATTAAGTGACCGGCCTCGTTATTGCCTCGCATCACTTCACACGATTTACTGCAGTAAATCAAATCCAATTAAAACAACCCTTTCCCGACCCTAACTTACCCACCCTATTGTTCTCCAAAGAGCACCACTCGGAATAATACATTATCGCTATAATTGGATAATCGGCGATTTTGATATTAGACGGAGTTGTTGTGTTAACCCTGTAAAAACATAGGAGAGTTCCAATACATGACCTTGCATCGGAAATGCATTCAGCCATAACATTGTAGTACACAAGCGGTGGCCGGGGGCTAAATTTACCTGTAACAATTGCTCTGGAAACAGTTATCCCCATCGTTTTTTTCTATTGTTGACAGTGACTTAAATAAAAGCCCCTCATCAATATTTTTGCCAAGTGCAGTTTCAAATCGCCAATCATGTTTTACTTTCGCCAATGGCGCCAGTGGCGATCGCCAGCCCTGACATTTCTTAACCTGAAGGGCAAGTGAGCTTATGCCATATGGTGCGGTGTCCGTCGTCCGTCTGTCCAGCGTCAACTTTTTACTTAAAACAACTTCTTCTCAGTAACCAAAAGGTCTAGGATGATGATATTTGGGCAGTAGCATACTTGAATCAAGGGCTACCAAGTTTGTTCAAATAAATGACCTTGACCCACTTTCAAGGTCACAGGGGTCAAATAAATTAAAATCTTCAAACAATTTCTTCTCAATAACCGAAAAGCCCAGAGTACTGGTATTAGGCCTGTAGCATGCTGGGATGAAGGGATACCAAGTTTGTTCAAATGAATGACCTTGATCCACTTTCAAGGTGACTGGGGTCACATGTCTTAAAATCTTCAAACGACTTCTTCTCAATAAACAAAAGGCCCAGGGTACTGATATTTGGCCTGTAGTATGCTGGGATGAAGGACTACCAAGTTTGTTCAAATGAATGACCTTGACCAACTTTTAAGGTCACAGGGGTCAAATGTCAAAAAATCTTCAAACAACTTCTTCCCAATAACCAAAAGGCCCAGGTAACTGATATTGGGCCTGTAACTAGCCTCGTTTCTTGAATAAATGAGTCTGGTTAAACCCCTTGGGTATAAACAGAGGGTGTGGGGCCCAATTAGGTAAAATGTGGTTAATCTGTGTGAGATTTAGATTTAGATCAGGTGAGCAATGCAGGTCCATTGGGCCCCTTGTTGGATTATAGTCAGCATGGTTGGGTTATACTACCATGATACGAAGAAAGTCAGCATTTTGTAGTCACTAGTGATATGGTTAACAGTGATAACCCTATCTACTACTACATGTCTGACATATTGTGTAGATAAACTGTGGTGTTAACTGTATCATGCATTGCTGTTACAGAGTCAGATCCGGGTAGTGAATGTGGACAATGAACCTTACCAGAGTGATTTCTGTGTATACAGCACTGTCACATGTAACCGGCTGTTGGAGGCAGACACCACCCTCTTGGACCTCACCAAGGTAAACACTTATTTAGACTAGCCAACCGTTACCTTTTTATTAGGCTGGACTTGCTTCAGTAGGTCTGCGCCTATTGTTATCTTAGATTTGCTCACAGTCTTCTTCCGAATACTGTCCAATGATTAGCTGAATTCGGTGATTTTCACCACTATGCCCCCTATGATTTAGTTTCAGATTTCAAAATGATATCCTCCTATGTGTAGGAACTCATTTCATCATTAGAATTTTTTTAAATGTCGTTTTATGTATGTAACACTTTAACTTTTACCTACACAAGTTAGTGACGACGGAATATATCAAATAAATAGCTGAAAAGCTCGCATATCGAATTCACGATCGAAGTCTCCCAATATATATTGCTATAGGGCTATTTTGACACCATTGAGCGATGCAGGCCCATTGAACCTCTTGTTTCTGAAGAACCATAAAGTTTAGTGGAATGCTAAAAATATGGAAACATTTGCAATAATGTTTTTGAAAGAGAAATTTCTATCATTTAATATATAAGGGGTGTGCAATATCATTTATCGGAAATAGTATTTGACGATGACACATTGCGATATTTCTATCAAATATGGATATTTTACAATGTTAAGAGAAAAACAGTAAAAAATTACAAACAGTGGAAAATGAAAGTGTCAAGGAAGGGATGCGCAATAACAATCCAAAACCAGTACTAGGTTGCGACCATTTATTGTAAATTGTTTGGGTATTTTTTGTAAATGTTTTGAAATATACTCGCAGCGATAAACTGCGAAAAAGTTTGTATTATAAATCCTGATTACATTGCCTATTTCACTATTATGAAACGTTGCAAGTTAAAGTCATAATACGTTTACGTTAATGCATTTACGTTACGTCGTGAATTGATTAATACAGCGTATGGGAAATTATACCGAAGAATTGCAAGAAAATCTGAAAGCACAAGTGTTTGGTGTTTTTTTATGTCTAGCTAATTTAGCTGTTGGAGGTCCTCGTTGGACCTGTTTGAGTGATCATGACTGCCTTTAATTTAAAGCTTACACACTGCCAATATCGCTGTCTGTTTTCTCTGATTTGCAGACGCAAAGATAACTACTTGGAATCATATTTCCAAAAAAGGGAAAAACTTGATTGAATCATTTCTGAAAGTTATTGTTGAAAAAATAACATCGTTAAGTGATCTGTTCTGCCATGCCAGGTGTCAACAGATCTCCCTGTACTCAAGGTGTCGATCAACACCTACAAGGCCTCAGTAATAATTAGGTTTTAAGTGATATGTTTTTCCAACATAATTTATTACTTCAATGTGTTTATTTAGTTAACCTTCATTAATGACCTACCTGGTTGATTATCAGTCCAGCTTGATATTTTTGCAAGAAAAAAAAAATCATTATTTTAAACAACTAAATTTCACCCAAAAGGTACCTGCACACTATACAGGAGTGCACACAATATGCGAATTTTATCCTGGATTTTCAATATTTTGACTTTTTTAAATTTTATGTTTTGTAATCTTAAGATTTAAAAAAAAAAAATCTGTAATATGTCAATGTGTTAGAAAAACACTTTCTTGTCCTATTTTTACAGACAACAACAACACTAATTCAGCAGTTCAGCAATTTAGAAAAAGCAGTGGAGATCAATGAAAGCAGAAAGACTTGCAAGACTGATCAGATCATATTCAAACCCAGCTCAGATGAAGGAAAAATGGCTAAGAGTATCACACCTTTAAAAAGAAAACTGAGTGACAGTCAAGATATATTCCCTGCTAAAAGACAAAATTCTTCTTGGCTTGCAAATGCTCCATCGCCTTTTCAAAGTCTGAATCGCACACAAAATGTGACTGTTGAGAAAAGGTGTTCTCCTCGTTTAGCAGCCAAGAACACAGACCATAGAACACGCTTAAAGTCGTGAAAGGAATGTTTTTACCATACGTTTTTACCATTAATCTTTCCATGTTTAGGATCTTCATAACTATAATACTGTTGGTCTTTGAACAAAAGAGAAAGTCAACTTGTTGCAAAAATAAGGAAATTCATAAAAGTTTTAAAATCTTTTTTATTAGCTCACCTGGCCAAAAAGGCAAAGTGAGCTTATGCCGTGGTGCAGTGTCTGTCAGTCATTCATTGCCAATTTTTCCTTCAACAACTTGTAAAAAACCCGAAGAGCCTTTTGTCATGATATTTTGCTGGAAGCTTCCTTGGATTGAGCCAAACAAAGTTTGTAAACAAACATGTCCTTGACCCATTTCAAAGTCACAGGGGTTGAATATGTCTTAAACTCCAAACACCTTTTTTTGCGATCGCCTTTTGTCCGGCCGTGTCCGACGTGCGTCCTTAATCAATTTACACAAAAAAAATTCGACTTCTTCTCCAAAACCCCTGAACCAATTTTCAATGAAATTTTGCAGAATCCTTCCATGGCCAAAGGTCAACTAAAATTGTGAATTATATGGTCCCCAGCCTCCAGGGGCCTGAGGGTCGGGGCCAAAAAGGGTCAAATTGACTAAAGCTTTCGAAAATCTTCTTCTCAAGATCCAGATATGGTAGAATCAAATACTCTTCATACATGGAACGGTCTTAATGTGCTTAACCAAAATTGTGAATTTCATGACCCTGGGGTATCATGTTTCCCCCTGGGAAGTGAGTAAACTTTACTGTAGTTTATATAGGGAAATCACATTTTGGACTAACATTTGTTTGATTGCCATTAGAAGTAATTCAATTTGGGTTAGCATTATCAATATTGGATAGCAGTTTGATGGTATGCACATATCAGCCCTGACTGACCCCCAGGGGCTGATGGGTGGGGCACAAAAAGGGTTGAATTGACTGAAATTTCAAAATCTTTTTCTCAAGACCAGATATGGTAGAATCAAATACTCTTCATAGATGGAAGGGTTTTTAGGTGCTCTACCAAAATTGTGATTTTTTGGCCCAAGGGTCTAACGTTTTCCCCTGGGGAAGGGGGGGGGGGCAACATTTGTTATGGTTTATAATGGCAAATGATACTTTGAATATTACATGTTGATAACTTGATTGGAATTATAACTCTAAGTTGACAGTTTGATACTTTGAAAATTTTGCGCTATCCCTACCCCTAAGGGCTGTAGGGTGCGGCCCAATGGATTCTGTGTGCTAAAATTTCTTCATTTTCCTTGTTTAGAATCAGAGGTGCTAGTTTCAAATACTTTTCAGTCTTAAATCTGCCTGCTAGATATTGAATAAGGTGGTTTTATTGTTTTTTGTCACTTTGAATAATATTTCTGTTCATGTAAAAAAACAAAAATCAACTCTCTGTATAAATATATCAGGTGACCGTTAAGGCCCATGGGCCTCTTGTTTAAGATAGAAACATAGATTCCTTGGATGGAGCCCACCAAAGTTTGCTAACAAAAATGACTTTGGCCAACTTTCAAGGTCACAAGAATCAAGTATGTCTTAAACTTCAATTGACTACTTTTGAAAAACCAAAAGGCCTAGAGTCATGATATGAGGCTAGTAGCTCTCTGGGGTTGGAGACTTATAATTTTGCAAACAAAAAAAATGACCTGGACTTACTTTCAAGGTCACAGGAGTTTTAAACTTAAAATGACATTTTCTTAAGAAGTAAAAGCCCTAGGGACATGATATTTCGCTGGTAGATTACTAGGAGAGAGCCAAACAGAATTTGTGAACAAAATGTCTTCGGACATACTTTCAAGGTCACGGAGGTCAAATATGTCCAAAACTAAGTGTCTTCTTGTGAGAATAGAAAGTACTGGAATTATGAAATATGTTAGTAGATTCCTTCCATGGATTCTAAAAAAGATTGCAAATAAAAATGTTCTTGTAGCTTTCTGAGTTAAAGCCTTACAACAGTTTTAAATAAGAATGCATGAGTTCACAGATGTTAAATATATGTCAAAAACTTCAAATGATTTCTTTTGATGAACTAAAAATACTATAGTCATAATATTTGACTTTTAGCTTTCTGAGGGGAGTCTTACACATTTTGCAAAAAAATTGACCTTGAGTTATTTTTGAGGTCACAGGGGTCAAAGCTTGCAAAAAAAGGTAAAGATAATCCAGAGGAACCTATACACTTCATAAAAGTTTGGTTTTGGATAGGTTTTGAGTTAGAATAACTAATTCTAGGTGAGCTATTAAGGCCCATGAGCCTCTTGTCAATGCTTAAAATAGAAAGGTATGGAAAAGATATTATTTCTTAATTTTTCTATTTTACGTCCGTCCGGCGTAAACTTTGTTTGTCTGGCAATCTTCTCCTACATTTTTCGACCGATCTATTTAAAACTTGGTATACATTTTAATCATGATATGACTTGTCTCCCGTTAAAGAATTTTGATTCAACAACTTTTGCAAAATTTATTGCCTTTTGTTCATTTCAGTATTTGATTTTGTGTCCGAAGATTTTCTCCTACATTTTTTATAGCCTATCAGCTAACCACTCTTAGAATGATGCAGATCTTAGTCAATGTAAGAAAGTATATAACACTATATGGCATTCGACGGGCATATTTTATTCCGCCCCGCGGTACTCTTGTTGGATGTTCACTTGAGAGATTCCCGCAAAAATATGTATTTGGTCCCTGTTTTTAATGTCTGTGACAGAAATGCTGCATTTATGAATTAGCCCCTACAGACTCTTGCATGATGAGTGACACGAGTGAAAGTAGGCAAGTCTAATTCGAATGTAACCAAAGACTTGTCGCTACATCTGTAACATGAATCATTCTAATCATAGCTGTATTTTACAGCACTATTTATATGAAGAGAGCAGGAAAGAGAGCCCCATGATGCCATAACTGGTTTGTAACAATATAAATGTAATTTATGACCAAAAATATTTTAGTGTATTCAGTATTTTTTGAAATTTTCAAAAAATTGAAAGCAAACTGAATGCTGTTGCATGTCACTTGTATTGGCAATATCAGTTAAAAAAATGGAATAGTTCTTATTAATTCTGACTAACCAAAAGGCCTAGGGTGATGATATTTGGCAAAAAACATGCTGGGATAAAGGGCTACAACATTTGTTCAAATAAATTAACTTTGCCAAATTTAAGGACACAGGGGTAAAATATGTTGAAATCTTTTAACAACTTCTAAATAACCAGAAGGCCAATGATGATGACGTTTGGCCTGTAACATGCTTGGATGAAGGGCTATCAAGTTTGTTCAAATGGATAACCTTGAGTTACATTATAGGTAATAGGGGTCAAATATGTTCAAATCCTTTAAACAACTTCCTCTGAATAACCAATAGTCCCAGGATGTTGATATTTGGCCAGTAACGTTTCTTGGATTAAAGGCTATCAGATTTGTTCAAATGAATTAAGTTGACCCGTATTCAAGGTCACATGGGTCAAATATGATCAAAAGCTTTAAATGACTTCACAATAACCAAAAGACCCAGTTTGATCATATAAAGCAAGTAACATGCTGGGATGACAAAGTTTGTTCTAATGGATGACCTTCACCCTTATTCAAGGTAAATGTGGTCAATTGTTTTAAAAAAAATCCCTTAACAACCAAAAGGACCAGGGTCATGACATATGGCCAATAATATGTTGGGATGAGGGGGCTACAAAAGTTTGTACAAATAAATGACCTTGATAGATATTCAATTACTTCATACCACTTCTTCTGAATAAGCAAAATAGCAAGACAGCTTAGCATGTTCAAATGAAAGTTTACCAAGTTTGTTCAAATGAATGATATTTGCCCATGTTCAAGGTCACAGGGGTAAAATATGTTTAAGATTATAAAAAAAACTTCTTATGAATAACCAAAAGGCCCAGAGTAATGATTTTTGGCCTGTATTCTGCTGGGAAGAAGCTTCTCGTTGTCCTCGTCTGTCTGTCCTCATCCGTCAACTTTTCCTTTAAACAACTTCTTCTGAAGAACTGAAAGGTATAGAATCTATATATTTGGCTGGTGGCTTCCTGGAATAGAGCGTAACAAAATTTGAGAATGAAAATTAGTTTGACATACTTTCAAGGTCACAGGGGTCAAATATGTAAAAAAAAACTTCAAACAACTTCTTCTGAGGAACTAAAAGGTATAGAATCTTCATATTTGGCTGATGGCTTCCTGGGATGGAGCCCAACAAAATTTGAGAATGAAAATTACCTTGACCTACTTTCAAGGTCGAAGGGGTTAAATCTGTCAAAAGCTTCAAATGAATTCTTCTGAAGAACTGAAAGGTATAGAATCTTTATATTTGATTGATGGCTTCCTGGGATAGAGCCTGACAAAGTTTGAGGATGAAAATGACCTTGATCTTCTTTCAAGGTCACAGGGGTCAAATGTGTCTAACACTTCAAACAACTTCTTCTGAAGAACTGAAAGGTATAGAATCTTCATATTTGGCTTGTAGCTTCCTAGAAAAGAGCCCAACAAAGTTTGAGAATGAAAATGACCTTGACTTAGTTTCAAGGTCACATGAGGCAGATAAGTCAAACACTTCAAACAACTTCTCCTGAAGAGCTGGAAGATATAGAACCTTAATATTTGGCAGGTGGCTTCCTGGGAAAGAGCCAAACAAAGTTTGCGAATGAAAATGACCTTGACTTAGTTTCAAGGTCACAGCTTTCAAATATGTCCAACAGTTCAAACTACTTCTGAAGAAGAATTAAAAGGCATAAAATTATGATAATGGCTGGTGACTTCCTGGGATGGAGCTCACCAAAGTTTGTGAATGAAAATGACCTCAACCTAATTTAGAGGTCACAGAAGTCAACAACATTTTAATGGATTTGTTCTTAAGAAGTAAAAGGAATGGATTCATAAGATTTGGCTGGTAGCTTTTTGGAATAGAGCTAACCAATTTGAGAAGGAAAATGACATTGACCTACTTACAAGGTCACAGGGAAAAATATGTCAAGCGACTTCTGAAGAAGAATCAGAAATCATAGAATCTTATAATAATATTTTGGTGGTAGTTTGAACAGATGGAGCCAACAAAGTTTACGAGGGAAATAATTTTAATGCAATATGATATTTAATGAGAATATTTTGCTATGACTGCTTAAATATTCAGGTGAGTGATACAGGCCCTCTGGGCTTCTTGTTCTAATCTATCTATATATATATATATATATATATATTTTATCTCTATAATATTGTAGTTTTTTGGGAATTCATCCCTCATTGACAGTCCTCCTGAATATGTAAAAATCAAAAATTTCTTATAGAATAACATTTGCCATAGTTGGACTATTTAGTAGTACCTGTAAGGAAAATGAAGACAAAAAAGGAAAAAATATGATCTTTTGTAGATCTGATAAAGATCCTTGGATGGTGGATGCCAAGACTATTCTAGGATCTCTTGTTTGCCCACTTTCTCATAAAGAACTAAAGGACTATATATCAATTTCACATGATGGTTCCTTATGATCCCTTATTATGCA